ATTAAAACCATACATCTGGGGGAGACACTTCATCCTTTGTACTGACCACTCCCCTCTGATGTGGTTAAAGACTATGAAGGCCCAAAACAGTAAGCTGATGAGGTGGGCTTTAATATTACAGGACTATGACTTTGAGGTTAAGGTGGTCAAAGGGACTATGAACTGTGTTGCTGACGCCTTATCCCGAAGACCAGACGACGACAGATGAAAAAATTTGGACTCTTGAAATTGGTTATTGTGTTTAAAAGTTACTGAAATGTTGTTCTGTATATATGCAAATGATTTATTGAGTGTAAGTATATTTTGAATAATATAGTATTGTTAGAGTATGCCTGAATGTTAATGGTAAGTTTTGAAATGTGGGGAAACTGTAATGTTTTGATTTTTGCTACTAGTTGTTTTGGGTGAAAAGCACCTTAGCTTTCCCCCACAAAACAACTTTTAAAGGGGGGAGGTATTGTTACATACAGCTATGACATCACCTGTCCGTCACTGCTAAAGCTGTGAGTCATCTACCAATGGTGTGACGGAGGGTGGGACATAAGGGGTGGAGCTGTGGTATAAATGGGAGTGAATATGTGTGAGAGACTTTAGATAGGGAGATAGGGACAGATAGGGACTGATAGGGCTTGGATAGGGTTTAGAGAGGAGTTAGGAGATCTGTGATATATTGTGAGAGTCTGTGTATGCTAGTAGTGCCTTGATTATAGTGACTGAATTATTATTTATTATAAGTGATTTACCATTCCTTTTATTTGTACCCAATAAACCTGAGTTTTTATTTTGAATCATATTTTGGCCTGAAGCTACTTATTTGAGGGAATGGTTGGTGGCAGTGGAAAAGAAGAGTGATTTAGAGTGAAGTAGCGACCCCCCTTTGTGAGGTAAAGGGAGGACGTTACAATAAATACCTCATCCTAGGTGATCTCATAATAATTACATCAGCCTTCTGCCTAGTCAGCATGACTCAGCTGTATATACAGCTGTACAATATGGCTGATTAATAACTTCCTTTACACATTTAGTCTAAGATGTCAATTTCTTCTATTACAAACCTTGTAATTTCCTGAAATATTCAAAGAATGGCAAACCACTGGCCAGTGTAAAATTACTACAAAATTAGTATTAGAAAGGGGTGAAGCTTGTAAAGGCCTGGGTGAAAAGCCAGATTTTAACTTGCTTCTGAAAGCTCAGAAGGATAGGGGTCACAAACTGAGCTGTTTCTCTTTAGGCGTCAAGGTCGTAGATTACTTTTTGTTTGTTTCACTGCAGTCCAAGACATCTCTGCCCAACTGACCAAACATTCCTTTTTTTTAAGTCAGCTCAGCTCATCCAACTTTCAGAATGTACAGAGATGTTAAAACAGAGAGATGATGCTATTTTAACCATGTATAGCTCGGCATACACACACAGCTATAGATATAACCCACTTTCTCTCTTCCATGGTGGGACCTGCCAGGACGAGAACATTGAGGCTACATCAGCTTCTGGAGGTGCAGCTAGAATGAAAAGGAAGGCACATGTGATGCTTCGTGTCATTCTCCTATTTGTCTGCTGCATATCCAGCGTTCTATTCTGCTGCAGCTGGAGCTGGCAAATCCTTCCTGGTTAATATAAGCACATTCTGCTCCTCCACGAACCTGAAACCTGAAGAGGAACAAGATAAATGTCCAAAATCTTCACAGAAATTGTAACATTGTGGACTAGCATAGCACCCTATTACATGACACATTACAACTACCTGCCTCCTTACTAGGGAGGTAGAACGGCATTGTGTGGCCACCTTTCAGCGTTCTAACTCAGGAGTTCTGAGGATTAAACAAAATATTAAAATCCCACAATATTTCTTTTTTGCAAATTGTTTTCCATTAATAAGCAAGAATTATTGTCGTGTTGGTGGTCATTATTGTTGTTGTTGTTGTTGTTGTTGTTGTTGTTGTTGTTGTTGTTGTTGTTGTTGTTGTTGTTGTTGTTGTTGTTGTTGTTATTCCAAGTCAATTCTGATTTATGGCAAGGTAACTCTTACCATAACTGGATTCCCAGTGTGGTGTAGTGGATAGAGTGATGGACCAGGACTCTAGATAATAGTGTTTGACTCCTCTTGTGGCCACAGGAACTGACTTGGAAGGTGGAATTGGTAAAATCATCCCTTAAAATATCTCATTTAACTTGAAAACCCTGCTAAGGTCACTGTCAGTCACTTCTGACTTGATGGTACAGAAAAACAGCTTTTGCTAGGGTTTTCTGGTGTAAAGTACTTCCAAGTAGTATATTAGTTCCTCCTTCCTGTGGCATTTTTGAGAATGCATAGCTTGACCAACACAACAATGGTTGACATTTTGCCCAGTGGGGAATCAAACTCCTGACCCCTGGCCAACCAACACAACAACAGTTGACATTTTGTCCAGTGGGGAATCCTGACCCCTGGCTCTGGTGCCAAGTGCTCCAATTTACTGAGCCTAGAAAGCAGCCAGAAGAGCTTGACCTTCCAAAATGAGAGAACTAACTTCTAGACCTATTGGAAGTTCTTTGAAACTGGAAAGCAAGGCAGACTAAAGAATCAACGGTAAAGCCAATGGTCAACAAGGTTATTAGAAGCATTGCCAGTGAATATGTGTGTATTCTCTGTTGGAGGGCTGCTTGCTTGTTTGTTTCTTGGTATTTCTCCCAAGACAGCTTAGACTTCCCCATCAAAACCAACTTTTATTTCTCTGCTTTACTGTTTCCCTTTGGGCTCCACATTTGACCCAAAAAGCCATTATATCTGTCAAAATACTTCTGAAATGTTCGAGGTATCATTTTCTGTTCTTGCTGGGTGCTGTTAACCAGTTAGAAAGTGCCACATCTGGTTTCTAAATTCTAAAATTTGTTTCTTACAAAACACAAAGAGGCGTCTCACCAGTTATTGAAGGGGGTGCCATTGGTCCATCTCCAGGGCTGTCCCTCTGATTCCCTTTGGAGACCGATCCAGTGGTCAGCAGGAGTTTTGTATCTTGCCAAGAAGCCCTTAATAAGGAAAAGAAATGTACACATATGACTAACTCCACTCCAAGTGAGCAGCATCATATTCTAAGTTTTTATTCAGGGAACTACAGAAAGTCAATTCCAAAAATCTGAAGTAATACTCTAAATTTAAGGCAAGTGTGGTTGATAGTGTTATTAGATTGCTAAAAACACACACAAGCAGACACACACTAGCTTTCAATCTCATGAAGACCAAACAGGTCTTCATACAGGTTGGACATCACAGGGCTGTGAATGGCAGAGGGAAAAAAATGAAAATTCCAAAAATCATGGCCGGTTGTACCTGCCAGGTTCCTATCTTAAAAGTGAGTTTGCGGACCCCATCTGGAAATTATCAATTGTTTATTAAAAAGTTTGTTCAAAGTGAATTTCCGAATGGAAAATGTCCAAATCTTCTAGCCAAGAATAGGCTTTTGGGGAGCATACTGCAAGGTTAGCGAAGGTTGTTCCCGATGTCACTACTCACCATCTCTTCCTGGGAATCAACCACAGCTAAGGAGGCATTGAATGCTGAACAGTTGTTCTTGCTAGATTCCCAGTCTTTTTCTTCATCTGCAAAATAGTAACATATCCTTCCATATCCAACCCAGCCATCAGGACAGGAGGCCGTTAGAACTGTAAAACAAGGTGATGCTTCCTGGCTTCTACTCAACAGCCCTAAGAGGGGTTTCAAAAAACAATACAGATTACTATTACAGATTAGCTATACTTTCAAGTGAGCTGAGCCCTGCTGGTGAACCAACTTGTCAAAATAGCAGGAAGACTGAAATAATATGCCACTTTTCCAACTACTCAAACATTGTGACCTAGCAGCTGAAGTTATAATTTACAGTGGTGCCTCGCATAGCGACGCTAATCGGTACAGCAAAAATCGCTGCAAAGCGATTTCGTCACTATGCGATTTTAAAAAGCCCATAGGAATGCATTGAAACCCCTTCAATGCGTTCCTATGGGCTTAAAACTCACCTTTAAGTGAAGATCCTCCATATGGCAGCCATTTTGGCTGCCTTGTATGAGAGGAATCGGCATGAAAACACAGCGGGTGGCCATTTTTTTACCCGGCGGCCATTTTGGAACCGCCGATCGACTGTTGGAAAATCATTGCTATGCGATGGTTGGTAAGTGAAACAGGGTACCGCTCATCGCAAAGCGATTTTTCCCTATTTAAAACATCACAAGAAAGTTCGCCGGTATGCGATTTCATCGTTAAGCGGAGCGCCCGTTAAGCGAGGCACCACTGTACATAGAAAAGTGAGTGTAACTCAAAGGCTGGCCTCATGTTTTTTAGAGGAGCCCGGGATCAATCTGAGCATTTCTAGGTAAGCTGGAGAAGACTCATTTGCCAAAACCCTCTTAGTTGCACCTTGTAGTATAATACAATTGGTGTAAAATCTGGACAACATATTAATGTATTCTTGATCAATCGCCAATACTATTAAAAACTATTGGCTGTTAGTATCTCAGTTGTGGTGCCTCAAAGATGGAATATCATGTCCAAAGGAGGCATAACTAGTACCATTATAGCAATTCTTCCTGCACCCAGCTCAAACCTTTTTCAAACCAATGCCTTTTTCATAAGCTTTTTGCAGTTCATTGGTTTCTTTCCTTTAACTGTTTCTCTTAGCTTTGTTTATACATTTTGGCATCTTTGTGTTTCAAAAATATTATTTTGCTATATTTTGTATGCCATCCTTGTATTCATAAGAATGAAGGGTAATTTAAAATGTTGACTGAATAAATACTTTAATTGATAGCAATAAAGGTATTAGCTTGTGAAGATCCTTTAACAAGTTGGCATTGCTGTTTAGGAAACAGCCAGTATTCAATGTATGCATGCAGCGTCAGCATCACAAGACCACTGTGGAAGCCAAAATGCACTTGGCTCAAGCATGGGGATTTTGCTTTGGACATTAAGATCTTTTAGCTTCCACGTGGAGGTTTTAGCCTTCCAAAAGGCCAAGAGTGGCTTCGGAAGTGATTTTAAATGTGTTTCTAATCTTCGCACTATGAGGGAGCAGCCCGGGTATGTGGGGCTTGTCAGCTTTGGGAGGCAGCCCATCTAGGAGAAGGAAAACTCCAATTTCAAACCTCCACTGCCTTGTGGCTATATCCACTAATGGAAAAGGCTTCAGAAGTTAACCTTGAGGCAAAATCCAGAGGCGGAGTCCCGGAGGCAGTTGGTGTCGTTCTGGCAACTCCTGCGATGTTGCTGGAACCAGTTGTATTGGCTCTTGCCTTTCCATTAGACTATTTCAGTGACGTGGAGAGGGGGGATTTACTGCTTGAGTAACAGCTTATCCTCCATGTTATTTTACCCAGGCTTCAAATACAGCATCAAAATAACACGGGAATAAGCAGTTACCAGTTACAAGTCTTTGCTCGAGTGGCATAGAGCATGCCAGGGGCTACTTCTGATGGTGGGAGAGGTCATTGCACTTCACTAGGTAGCTACCGCCCACCTTAAGCTGGGCAGCCCCCAGCCAGTAAGGTGCTGCTTCGCCACAGTCTGTTAACCTCACGGGGTGCATGGAGTTTAGGGTGAAAATAAACAAGCAGATTGATAACCCTGCACCATGCAATAATCGTAAGAAAACTTCTGCCCTGAAGTTGGGCACCTAGAATGTTCGGACAATGATGCCTGGCTTTTCTGATGACCCGCAAGAAACAGACAAGGCACACAAGACAGCTGTCATTGACATGGAACTGAGTGGGCTACAGATGGACATTGTTGCCCTGCAAAAGATGAGATTGCCAGATATGGGATCTGTCAAAGAAAAACATTTCTCATTCTTCTGGCAAGGAAAACCATTGAATGAGACCAGGATCCATTGTTCCACCTACTGTAGGGAGTGAAAGAATCCTGTCTCTGCAGCTCCACTCATCAGCGGAACTAGTCACCCTCATTAGCACATAAGCACCAACACTGTCGTCTGCAACAGAAGTCAAAGACAAATTCTACAACGATCTGGCAGCTACTATCAAAAAAATCCATGAAAGAGAGCCGCTATTAATTCTTGGATACTAGAGTTGGTGCTGATCACAATTCTTCGCCCACTTGTCTAGGCTGTTTTGGTATTGGGAAGATGAATGAAAATGGCCAATGCTTGCTGGAGTTTTGATGTTGCTATGGTCTTTGTGTCAGAAACACGTTCTTTAATACAAAGCTACAACAGAGTTTCCGGGAGACATCCAAGATCAACGCATTGGCAGCAGCTCGATTTGATCCTCACTAGATGCTCTAGCCTTCCTAGTATTACGATCACACGCAGTTACCAGAGTACTACTTGCAGGCTCTTTGAGTTGCTCATAGCAAAGTCCAATAGGCTGCTAGGAGATGTTCTAACGATTATTGGCTTCAGCTCTGATTTCAGAAACAGATAGTAGTGGACACCGGTAACATCAAGGGAATGTATGGTGGCATCAAGAAGGCTTTAGGTCCAATACAAAAGAAATCTGCTCCTTTGAAGTCTGCTACAGGCGTGATCATCCAGGAACGAGCACAGCAGATGGAATGCTGGGTGCAGCATTACTCTAACCTATATTCCAGAGCTTGCAGGCTCTTTGAGTTGTTCATAGCAAAGTCCAATAGGCTGCTAGGAGATGTTCTAACAATTATTGGCTTCAGCTCTGATTTCAGAAACAGATAGTAGCGGACACCGGTGACATCAAGGGAATGTATGGTGGCATCAAGCAGGCTTTAGGTCCAATACAAAAGAAATTTGCTCCTTTGAAGTCTGCTACAGGCGTGATCATCCAGGAACGAGCACAGCAGATGGAACGCTGGGTACAGCACTACTCTGAGCTATATTCCAGAGAGAATGTAGTAACCGAAGAGGCATTAAATAACATTGAGTGCCTGCCTTTCTTGGAAGAATTGGACAGCGAACCAACTTTAGCAGAATTAAAAGTGGCCTTGGATTCCTTCACCTCTGGGAAGGCACCTGGGAGAGATAACATCCCTGTTGAAGTGCTCAAGTGCTGTAAAGCGATCATCACCATCGACCTGTATTTAGTCTTTTGTCTTAGCTGGAGGGTAGGTGGAGTACCACAGGACATGAAGGATGCAAACATCGTCACATTGTATAAGAAAAAAGGACATGGGGCGACTGCAATAACTATGATGGCATCTCTCTTCTCAGCGTAGTAGGGAAGCTGCTTGTCCGTGTTGTGCTGAAGAGACTCCAGGTACTTGCATGTGGGACTTCCTCTTCACCGATGATGTTGTTGCCTATTCTGCTGAAGACCTCCAACAACTTATGAATTGTTTTAGTAAGGCCAACCAAGACTGTGGATTAACAGTCAGCCTGAGGAAAACACAAGTCATGGGCCAGGGCATTGACTCACCTCCCTCTATTATCATCTTCACGCAAGAATTGGAGGGTGTTCATGAATTTGTGTACCTTGCCTCAATGATCTCTGACATTCTCTCCCTAGATATCGAGCTAGATAAATGCATTTGCAAAGTAGCTACCATGTTCTCTAGACTCACAAAGGGAGTATGGCTTGATAAGAAGCTGATGGCATATACCAAGATCCAAGTCTATAGAGCCTATGTCGTGAGTATACTCCTATACTCTACAGTCTCGAGAAACTATGGTAACGTGCTCTAACTCCTATACTCTATACTTCAGTCTCGAGAAACTATGGTAACATGCTCTGAACAGAGGTCTTAGAACAGCATCTAGTGTGGCTTAGATGGCTAATTCGAGAGTGAGAATCCCTTCCACACTGAGGACAATCTGTCCCCTGTCCAGCTCCCTGATTTTGCTGGTTTCAGGACTGCCTCTTTGCCTCGGCCTGCTGAACAAGTGTCTCTTCAAATTGGGAGAGGCCATGATGCAGTGCCTGCCTCCAGGCTAAAGACTCAGATGTCAACGTTTCCCATCTGTTGAGGCCCATTCCTAAGGCCTTCAGATCCCGCTTACAGATATCTTTGTATGTGATGCGAAACATGCTCAAAGGGTTAAATTCTAGGCAGGGGAGGAGTTAGTCCTGTGGCTTCCAAATGCTTTCGATAACAACTCCCAGAATCCCTGGTGGCTGGTAACTTTGGCTGGAGTTAGCCAGAGTTGCAGTCCTAAGCATCTGGATGGGACCAGTTTGGATTATCCCTCTTCCAGGAAATGCTGACATCAGCACAATTATTTTCTCCTATTGCTGGAATTCTGTCAACTGTCCTAGACTCAGTAACTCCACTTCTGCAACCCACCTTAACTTCTGGAGCCATAAACATTCACAAATGCCCACTGGCCTGTCATTACAACTGCAAACAAAGGCTGCCCTCACTTGGTCACTACCATTAGCGTTTCAGAGGAGAATAAGACAGCGAACAAATGCAAAACACAGCAGAATGGATTGTTGCAATTTTACACTCACCCAATAACACAATGATGACTATGATCAGCAGGATAATAAGTAGAAAGGAAAAAGTGAGCTGTAGCTGAAATTTCTTCTGCCGAAATCCTGCAGAGGAAAACAAAGTATCAAAACTTGCCAAAGTTCAGTGGGGTTCCCGACATTTCTTGCAGGGAATTCACAAAATGTGTAAACCATCCACACCTTGTACCTGCATCTCAGGTGAATCTATCCTATTTTTCTATCCCTTAACAGGGAAGCTGTGAGCACTGCTGTCAGAGTACTAGGGTCTTTTTTTACAATGCTAGAGTCCGAACAGGGACACCAAAGATGGAATGGGCAAAATTGAGACACCTGGTTAAAACGCGGCCAATCCTTATTCAGGAATTAAGAATCGCATCGCCAGAAAGACAGTTCCAGCAAGAATGGGGGCAGAAGGACTCTTGAAGGGGCAGCTCCCTGGAGGCAAGAAGAACGGAAGGAGACACTGGCAAAGGATCTTTCGCAGAAAACAGCAGTGATGCTCCAGCTAACTCTTGTTCCTCCTGTGCAGAAGAGGGCAATAGTAAGTCAGTTCTAAATACATAAGGACTCAGTTATTGGGTGTTAGGTTTAACTAGGCGTACTGTTGGCCAAAGTCAGTTTTTGCTTCCCAGAAAGCAAAGCAACATGCTGAGGTTTTCACGGGTCAAAACAGGAAGGCAGGGTAGGAGCAATCATAGTTAGGGGGAAAGAGCCAAGAGTCAGTCATCAGGGAGTAAGCGATAAACACGGCTGAAGATGTGTTGGGTTGAAGAGTAAAGAATTCAAAGCAAGGACTATCCATTGCAAAGGATTCGCATTTCCAGCAAGCCGGCTCTGACTGGGAAGGCTCTCTATTGTTCTTGGCTTGAGCCTCTCCATGCCTCAACTCCATGCCAGTCAGTCAGTCAAAACTTCATTGTTTATAGCCATAGGGCCATTGCATATGTGCAAATGTATGATATAAAAAGAAAATCCAATTTTTTAAAAAACATACGTTTTAGAATTTTTTAAAGTTTTAAAATGTGCCCTTCTTTGAGCATCTCCAGCTAAACTAAGAACCATTAAATTAAATGGCATTATGGTCCTTGAGAAAACCAGACCTCAGCTTCTTGGCTGCCAATGCAAATAGTGCTACAGCATACATACTAAATGGCTGATTGTCAATCATCAGTCTTAATACTAATTCCTTGAGTGTGCAGTTAGAGAACGACTGGAGAATAAGTAACAAAAATCCTTCTCTGGGGTCCTTATAGAGGGGGAAGAACAAAAAATCATGGATTATGTCTCCTGGAATTCTTTTGTATATCCCTTCGAGACATGCAGAGGGCATCTGCTGAAATCTCAGTTCAGTGAAGGCTCTGGGAAACTGTGGGAGAGACAGTGCCTCAAAATAACATGGCCTTTTGTGATTGATCTGAAGTTGGGCATACTAACTAAAAACCTGGGGCCCAAAAACTGTGGCTCTGTCTTGAGAAGCATCAAAATCAAAGATACAGTTCCTCAACATGATAGCATTGAGGTGGAGAAACTTATCCATAGTAAAACAATACACCTTTAGCTCATCATGGAACTGCTTCCTCTGGTCCTTAATTGCTTTAGCCAGCAGCACTTGGTCAATAATTGGTCCTCCAGACAGACCATTCAGTCTGAGCCACTACCTAAGACAGACCAAGTCAATTCTGGCAAGGATTGAAAGAAGACCCAGCTCTGCTCTAAGGTGAGCTGGCGGGATCCTAGAAGGGACCCCCAATACTAGTCCCATTAATTTTTTTCTGCATGATTTCCAATTTGGACTTGGCTCCCTCTCCCCATATTTCTGCCCCAAAGATTATTTGAGACAAAAAATTGTGATGAATAGCTTAAGGCAGGCTTGTCCAACCTTGGCCCTCCAGATGTTCTTAGACTACAGCTCCCAGAAGCCTTCACCACCACCTCTGCTGGCCAGGATTTCTGGGAGTTGAAGTCCAAGAACATCTGGAGGTCCAAGGTTGGACACCACTGCCTTAAGGGCAGGATTTACTAACTGGCCTCTGCTGGCATAAAAAACCTTTTTCGTTGCCTGATTGTTCTGGCACTTGATAAAATAATCGAATTCAGGTACTGCTTCTAGGGGTTGCGTCACTACAATGCAGGCCCAGATACTTAAATGAAAGCTGGGCAGCTTCTTCCAATGTATCTTCCTGCCATTATTAAATCAGGATTTGAAAATGTTAGATCAAGATCCTCTGTAACATTTCTTAAGTCATGTAGTCCTGATGAAGCCTTTGCGACCTGACCACAATTAATGACCTGATCCTGAGTTACATCCTCTAGGAGCCGTGAAGGGCACTGACCGTTTAAGGCTGGAGGAATGTCTTTTTCTATTGAATCAGTTGTGCTCATCGTATTTCCTCCCTGTTCAGTGTTGTGGGGATTTGGAGGAGGTGCTGCTTTTGGGATCCCCAGCTTTACCATGTTAGCCATGCATTGCAGTGTAGCTTTTATGACAACAATTTCTTGCTTTAGGAGAGATAGCATGTTAAAGATGTTTAGATTAGCTTGAGCTGAAAGAAAGCATTAGTCATTTAAACGAGTATAGGTAATTCTGGTTTGCTCATTTTCAAGTCCTTGGGATTCTTAGGATCTTATTGTCGTACTGATGGGTTTAGATCAGGGGTCTCAAACATGTGGCCCGGGGGCCATTTGTGGCCCCCCAGATGATAGTTTGTGGCCCTCGCCTTGCCTGCCCCCCCAAAGTGCCCACACATCCTCTGCTGTCAAGAGTAAAAAAAAGCCTTGCCTCGCTCGCCGGCTCTCTCCCAAGACAGCACCTCTTGCACCCTCCATCCAGAACTGCAGCCTGCCAGCCAGCCCACCTGTCTGTCGGCTAAAGAAACTCCTGGGCAGCTTCCTCGGGCTCTTGCTCCGCTTGGCGGAAAATCTGATGAGGCCCAGCCTCACTCAGACTCTGCCTCTAGCAGCCCCCAGGTAAATTGAGTTTAAAACCCCTGGTTTAGATGTTTGTGAGACAAATCCACTGATGCAAAAAAGCACCTTCTCTAAGAACCCTGGATCCAATTACCACTTGCCGATCGCACCTACGTATTGGGGATCATCTGCTAAAGCACCCTGGTGAGTCACCCCCTTGCTTGGGCCTCGGGTGTCCAAAATAGTTGGAGCGCTTGATGCAATTTCCCCCGAATCACCTCTGAATAGGAGAGGTGGGGTACTCATGCTGGCTGATGAAATCCAAAGGCATAGAAAAATGCACAACTGATTTCTGGATCGGGTTCCTGGGAGTTTTATTAGTGTTTCTGGGCCCTGGTAACAACCATGGGAATAATCTGCAGGTTTTGTTTATTACTAGATGAATATTAATATTCACTTCTTACTAGGTGAGGGAGTGGAGCAACAGGGCGGGGAAAAGGTTATAGATCTCATACAGACCTACCCACTCTCTTTCTAACTCACTCACCCTCTCTCCCAACTTTCTCTCATTAATAATGCTCAAGGAATTCCCTTAAGCCATGAAACAGGAGCAGCTATGTAGAGGGGAAGAAAAACTTAGTCCCAGTATAACATTAAAGGGCTAGACACTCCACCAGGCACTTGGAAGCATTTTTACTCACTAAAGCCAACTACAAATTGATGAGGTCAACAGGTGTCAGTCTCAGTCTAGATGCTGATAAATCTCATGAAGACAAGCAATCAGCTTCTTTTGTGTATAAACAGGATTATAAAAGTTAATTGAAATAGTTCCAGCTTTACTAGGGCGGCTGCCTGCAAACCACCAATGAAAGTAAGTGTTGCTTCCTCCCATCCTTCAGTGGTATATTCCAACTTTCCCAGGGCACTTATTTTTCTTTGTGAATACATGGTTATCAGGCAGCTCCAAGTTCTTCCTTCATAAGAGTTGTCGTTCCTAGAGAAACTTAAAAAGCAGCAGTGGGAGAGGAGCACGGTACAAATGCTCCAGCCAAGCTCATCCTTTGCTTAGTATGGACAAATAATAAAAGTTCTGACTCTTCCTTAGTAGGTCATTACAAACAATGAAAGGCCTAATTACTGTATAAAAACACTTTATAAGTGCCTTAAGGAAGCTGCATTGTCCCAGAGCACAAGTGGAAGGGTCAGGCAAATCATTTCTGAGTAGTTACAAACAATGAAAGGCCTAATTATAAAAACATTTTTAAGTGCCTTAAGGAAGCTGCAATGTCCCAGAGCACAACTGGAAGGGTCAGGCAAATCATTTCTGAGTATTTTAAAAGTAGAGAACCCATGGAGGACCATTGTATGTTGGAACTGATTTAACAACACACTGTACAATAAAATCATTGCTACATAGCCGCACGAGTAGTGTAAGGTGCCACTAGGGGGCAATCTGTAATAAACAACAGCAGTGGTGCTCAAGTTAACTCCTGCCAGTACTGTGGAGAAAGAGGCAATAATAAACAACTTTTAAATACACCGTACCTCGAAAACGCTGCAATCACAGAATTCAAAATTAAACAAAACAAGACTCCCGGGTTAGAACACAATTAGCCAACTACTAGGGAAGAGCAAAGGACAAATATGAATAGTGCTGTTGCTAATTAAGCAAATGGATGATTAAAGTTCAAAGGACATCTGGTGACCAATGCAGGCAGATGCCAAAAGAAAGTAAACAATAATAGTATCAAAAATAATTTAAATAACATTCCTGAAGAGTTTAGATACCATGTTAAGAGCTGATTTGTGTTACTAAATTTAATCAACCATGACTCAAAAGAACTGTGATCTGATACCAGAGATCCTACAAGGAAAGAATTTAAAAAAAAAACCTATTCATGTAACCAATAGAAAAAAAGAAGAGTCTCAATAGGAGACTAATTAAACTCTTAAAATCATTAATGACATATGAGAAGTAGTGGGTGGTGTCGTCTATTGTCACTAAGATATGGGTATATCCGCATGCTGACTTGGGCAGGGGGCCAACTATGTCTGTGGATATCTTTTCGAAAGGCTTGTCTACTAAAGTCATAGGACTTTCTGACATATAGAACAGGACAAGCGGTACTTTCTACCTTCAAGTAAAGACATGGCCAACAGAAACATTGGTGTATCCACTAACGCATTTTATCAGCGGCTAGGTGGCCTGCCAGTGAGGGGTCATGGGCTACCATTATCACAAATTGGTGTAAACACTAAGGAACCACTAAGTGGGCCCCAGAGTCTGCGGAGTTCAGAGTTCACTCTATACAGCAGCCAATTTCTTAATTTGAAACCCGTGATCCATAGGGCTGGTCTTGTCAGGCTTGGCAGTAGCTAATACTTGTTCTAGGGGAAAGTTCTCCTGTTGCCATGCCCTGACTTGAGCCTGCGTTATACAGCTACCTCTGAATTAATGGATTTTACAGAGGGTTTAACTCATCAAGTCTCCACCGACTACTGGATTTCAGCCAATGAACCTTTCGGTGTATATTAAAATATGAAATAAATTTGGAATTCCAGGAAGGGGTACAAATATGCCCTATTCCTGCCCCCGCCCTAAGACCTACAGTGCTGTCTCAAGCCATTTGGGCATTGAAGATACCAAACAACACTTTAAACTGGGTGCAGAAATTATCAGACAATTTGTCCAGCTCATATACAACGGTTCTTATAGGTTTTGATCACTCCTTTTCCCTGAAAAAGCAGAAGGACTTATACCAGATGAAGTCTGAAAGTAGGATGTTGGGTGAGGGGAGGTCTGATAAAGACCTTAAGACAAAGTCAACAGAATCAACCATTGAGATAGAATGTGTGCAAGTTTCTAAGTAACATGCAGTCAATTCCTGACAGCAGACTATAGGGAAGTGCCTTTGTGTGGATTAAAAGTTGTGTTTCTTTTAGGATAAATTTTAAACTCAAGATACTTTTCACCCTCTGGAAGATTTTATTCAGGACATAGTAGAAATTTTTTAGTCTTGCACTGACACATACAAATTCATCATCATCGAGTCTTTTGCGGGTCAGGACCAGTAACCTTAAGATGGCATAACTGGCAGCTACAGCTGCAGAATACAGTACTCAGTCCAAAGATGTAGCAGTGGTGGTGATGTAACCACACAAAAGCTTTAGTGAAGCCCACAGTTCTTTGGAAGATAAGTCTCCTGGGCATTCACTTAACACAGACACCGCTTGTAGAGGAAGGCAACAAGTTTCTTCCTGAGCAGAGACATTCATGAAGAATGAGTTTTCCAAGTGAGCTGTGCTGAAAAACATGATACATAAAGCAACGTTGTGGGATAAATCAAGCCATGGCTTCCTGCCATTGATCTCAGTTTCATGAGAATATTTTGCTAGTAATAGGTTGCTCTGAACCTTCTGGGCAGGAGCTTCTCGTCCTATTGCTTCTCCAGGGCTCTTTGGATCTAATTAGCTCAAACCTAACACGAGTAAGGCTCAGAATCCTTGGTCTTCACGGACAGCCCCAGCACCATTCTCCTCACAGGCTCCTGGGGATGTGAATAAGTGAATATGGATGTAGTTAGATGTGCAACAGAAATCGAATATTGCGCTATGTGCTCTATGTGTAAGGCAGGACACAGAAGGCAGCTTAAAAGAGCTAGCAGTGGTCTTCCCAAGGTAAAAAAATAGCAATGGGTTTCTCATCCTATTGTTTCTCCAGGGCTCTTTGGATCTAACAGCTGAAGCCTAACACGAGTAAGGCTCAGAATCCTCGGTCTTCATGGACAGCCCCAGCACCATTCTCCTCATAGGCTCCTGGGGATGTAAATGTATATGCATGTACTTAGATGTGCACCAGAAATCGATTATTGCTCTACATGCTCTATGTATAAGGCAGGACACACGGCAGCTTAAAAGAGCTAGCAGTGGTATGAGAGAGGCAAGTCTTCCCAAGGTAAAAAAATAGCAATGGGGAATTTCTGGCCCTCCAGGTGTCTGGAACTTGTCCCAAACTCCCTTAGAATGCTCCATGTTGGTCCAGGCTGGGAATAGCAGCAGGCCAGAATAAATGGAAGGCTAAAGGTTTGTCTTCCCAAACATAAAGACATGTCTTTCATTCTACACTTGCCCTCGATCGAACAGGTTTCACCACAAAGCCTCCTAAATCTGTTTCTCAGGAATACTGCACCAATCCTATGTCTCTCAACGCCGTCTTTCTGAAATCTCTCAGCTGACTCAGAAAAGGACTCTTGTAAATGTGAATTAGTAGACTTGGCACTAGGGGGGAGCCAAAGCTATGTCTCCATTAATCACTACTCACCATATGCAGGATGATTCCAAGTGACTCCTGCTTTGGTTTTGGCATTAATTCCTGTGGTGTTTACAGTAACTGGCCCATTCTCCACTGCATGTGAATCCAGAGGAAAATATTCCTCTTTCTTTTCAGTTCCATTTATATCCATTACATTTTTCTCATCAAAGCCCATCTCTCTCAGTTTCTCAATAAATGCTGCTGTTTGTCAGATGTGCAAAAGAATCCTGATTTCTTCAGGAAAGTGTGCTGCCTCCCCCCCCCCAACCACCCCCCCAAACATGCAGGATTACAGATCCAAGTGCAGTCTGATGAAGAGATCAGTAGGGTTGGGAGGGACTTTTCAAGACCACTTAATGGTGTGGTTTTCCCTGATTATTTATCCAGAAATCGGTGCTTTGCAGATATGCCACAGTTCTTGTTTTAAAATTGTCTGTGCAGCTACTTTAGATCCAAGATAGGGAGAATCTCTGCAGACGTTAAAGCCTTCAGTTGTGCTGCATTATTTCCAAATGAAGCAAGAATTCCAAGATTCCTTGTGGGGAGAAACAAAGTATGATCAATTTCTCTTTTCTGAGATATCAGGCAAAACCAAAATAATAAAAAAGACTAACTGCTATATTTTAATGTGAGCTTTTTTGCATCAGATCCTCCCTCCTTCTCCACCCCCCAAAAATAAATCTTTAAAAGGTGTCCAGGTCTGCTGTCATACCTAGTGCAACTTCCTCCCTTTTCTGTTATTCTGTGGCCTGTCACTGTGCTCCAAAAAGTGACTTCCCCCAAATCTGGAATAAATAGAATGATCTGCTGAAAACATCCATGCTTGAGTAATGGCAAGATGATGCCATGAGTCCCAGAGCATCATCCTACCACTGCATCACAGTAGAGAGCTTTGCATGTCATTCTCTCCATTTACCTTCAAAATGATTTTCAGTGCTCAGCTCTCTACTCTGGGATTCTCCTCCCACAAGACCATTGGAGTACTCTGAAGAAATCCAGTCTGCAAATGCAGATATAGAAGAAGTCCCAAACTGCACAAACCATGAAATGAGTCATTTCATTGGAAAGTACAGCAGAGTTGGTGTGATTCCTGGTTCATGAATAGCAACAAACCACAAACCATCTCGAGCTGCCGTTTTCCCAGTTTGCCCATCTCTATTTGTGGTAAATGCACCAAGAGCTATTCTGTGGGGATGGAGTTTGATCTCAGCAGGGTCTCTCCTCAAAAGGAGGAGCCCAGGGAGGGCACTCACTAGCCAAAGATATTGGACACACTCACAGACACACCGTTCAGAGAACACAGGCATGTCTCATTTAACAAACTGTTTAACGACCAGTTGGATTTATGACCCTTTATGGCCCTCATAAATCTGTGGCTTTGACTTTGCCATGCCCCTTCTCAATGGCACATGACCGCCTAATACAATATGAGTCCCCCTCGCTTGTCAACCAGCTCACTTAACAACTTAAGTCAAGAGGAGTGCCTGCAGTTCAATGCTGGCGAGGTTATTTAATCCACCCTCAGAATGAGAAGGGCAAAGATCATTTCCAAGTTGGGCAGATGACAAAATGATCTCAGTCAGGGAACTGTCATGTCCCCCTACCCTTGCAATCCCCACATACCCGACCATATAGCGGAGGGAATAACCGGGAGGTGGGGTGGGGGCGGATTCTCTCTGAAATGCAAACACAAGTAACAAAATGGATGTGGAGGCAGACCAGAGAAGAAGCAGATGCTGTTGGAAAGGATTTGGTTGCCTCCACAGGATACAAGCTTATGAAACAGCATTGATGTATTTACTGGCCCTCATCCATTGCTCTGAAGCTCAGATGTCAAATACCAAATGAGGCAAAAAGCAAAGAAAATGAAAAAAATAATAAAAGAAAACGAAAACATTGAGGCACCTCAAAGAATAACTGCTCTTTTTTAATGTGTGATTTTTACCTCAGGATTATGTCCCTCCAGAATTCAGGAGGTTCTCAACTCCTACTCCCATCATCCACCACCACCACTGAGCAGGTTGGCCAGTGATGATGGGAGCTGGAGTCCCTCAAGATGTAGAGGGACACAAAGCCCCTTGCCTGCCCACCCCACCCCCTTCCAGACGTGTCTTTGCCTTCAGGGCTACTGGTGCTGCTCTGAAGAGCACAGTCTTTTACACACACACCCCGTCCCGGTTAAGACTAATGCTGTTTACTTGCCTGTTGAAACAATCCAGCAGGAAGGCTTGCGAAGGTCGATTTCGGGGCAGTCCTGCGCGGCTCTGACGGGAACTCGACCAGGGCTGTGGAAGTTGTTGCTCTTGTTCGCTGAGAGGGAGGAGGAGTCTGTTCTTGCTTACTGGCAATGAAGGAAACGAAAGGGATAGTTTAGTAAAGAGTTTTAGGGGGGAGACTACTGAGAAGTCGTGGGACTGCCCTTGTAGCTGTTTGTCAGCAGTCTTTCGTGTGAGGCAACGCTGAGAAAACTTCGAAATTTTTACCAAATCAAAATGCAAATGTTTAACTATATTGTTAGTCTGTTATGGTTAAAAACTGTATTTGTTGGTTGAGGTGTTTTTTTGGGGGGGGAGGCAGGGGAGAAACTGTGCTGGGTGATTTTTTTGTAGGGCAGTAGGTTCAGCGACAATCTTTTGTAAAAAAAAGCCTTCTCAGTGGAGCTATTTGGATTATGTATGGTCTGGTCTCTGTGAGGAGTGAGGAGTGAAAATGGATGGATGAAACAATAATGATTTAAGATAGGCCGATGCCACCGTCTTTCTGTCAGAAAGCGGCAAGGGCTACGAACTCCTTTTTAGTGAAAGAAAGAAGTGCCAAAGCAGGACTGCGGTGGAACATGTAGACAAAAAGCATGACCACGGAAGAATTACACAACTTTAATGTCAACAATGAAGAAACTAAAATAATGAAAGGTTTTTATATACCATGGTTCAGTCATAAATCCAAACAGAAACAGTAGCCAAGAAATCAGAAGAAGGCTGCGATTCAGAAGGGCAGCAATAACGAGATTAGAAAGGAAGCTTAATTCTGGCTCCTGACATATTAGCATTTATAAAGATACTGAGCAACACTGGGCTCACGGCCTCCCTTGTCACTCCCCTCCAAGACGATGATTAGTGAAAACTGTTTTAGGTGCAGTCTCTCAAGCAGCTACAACTGGCCCCATCATCCAGCCCACATTTTAACAGCTGAACAATGTCATGGGTCCTGCAGCTCAGATTATCTTTCCGTATACAGTATTCTGCATCGAAAATAAAATAGGGTTTTAACCCTGTGAGTGCTGCTTCCATGAAAGCAGTGGTTCTTTGATAGCAGACTGTTGAAAAGAATAAAATAAAGCATATTTTAAAGTTGCTCCTTCAGAATTGCTTTGGTGACATTCAAAAAGGTTTTCTTTAGAAAGTTAGTCAGGAGGCTTCTTAGTTTTTCATGGCCAAAGATCTTTGTTATTTTCTTCCACTTATATTTATTAGTAAGACTTTCTAGGCCTTGCACTAATGAGTGCACTATAAAGGAGCAATAAAGAAACACTCCCTGCAGCTGTTAATGTTATACCAGAACATGAGGTTCATGAGTGATTTCTCAGAAATACTCTGTTCAGTATTTGCACTGGTTTCTGTTGATAACATGTTTGCATTGGTTTCATTTCTGGGAAACAAGCTGTTTTTGTGGCAACGTGTCAGATTATTCTCAGTTCAAGTTTAAACAGCAAATCCTCTTGAAGATATTTGATGACCAGCCAACGGTGAAATCTCTGATCCATAGAGGAAGGATTGACCTGTTCTTGTGGCAACTTTTCAAATTATACTCAGCTCAAGTTCAAACAGCAAATCCTCTTGAAGATCTTTGATGACCAGCCAACGATGAAATCTCTGATCCATAAAGGAAGGAAGGAAGTTTAGTTGGTAGTTTTCCTTTTTGTCTGTTTGTTTCATCAATTATATGTTAGATTGTTAATGTTTTGGTAATGTTAATGTTTTTAAGTTTGTATGTTATAATTAAAAAAAACAGGGTCTCTATCCTGTGCAGGGATAGAAAACACAGCATGTTCTGGAAGGGTGGCCATACGTTGTTTTTCTAAAAGAGGGTAGTCCTCAGTTTGAAGAGGAATCAGTGGATAGCCCCCTCCCCATTTAAACCCACCTCCCAGTCCAAAAGCCTTTGAGCTCAAGTTCATTTTAGAAGTCATCATGAAACACAGCCAGGAAAAACCTTGGCCCTGAAGTTGTCCTCAACACAGCAGGCTGAACAAAGCCACAGGATGATTATGACTCTGAAAAATCCCTTTCAAAGGCAGTGGGGGGGTCCTCTAACTTTCATATAAACTGGTTATCAGTGTGAACATTCTGAACAGTCAGAAATGTTGTTTCCGCTTGAGAGCTGACTCTGCTCCATGCCTGACTAAGACAGCCGAGGAACTTCAACATCTCTATCTGAAAATTATCTGTATCACATACCTTGCACATTGTTTACACACAGTGGCCAGACGTGGTGGCGCTGTGGGTTAAACTGCAGTTTACACATAGTGGCCAGAAGTGGTGCGCTGTGCTGCAGAAACCTCTGTGCTGCAAGGTCAGAAGACCAGCAGTTGTAAGATCAAATCCACGTGATGGAGTGAGCTCCTGTCGCTTGTTCCAGCTCCTGTCAACCTAGCAGTTCGAAAGCATGCAAATACGAGCAGATAAATAGGTACCACCATGGTGGGAAGGTAATGGCATTCCATTAGTGGCCAGAAGTGGTGCGCTGTGCTGCAGAAACCTCTGTGCTGCAAGGTCAGAAGACCAGCAGTTGTAAGATCAAATCCACGTGATGGAGTGAGCTCCTGTCGCTTGTTCCAGCTCCTGTCAACCTAGCAGTTCGAAAGCATGCAAATACGAGCAGATAAATAGGTACCACCATGGTGGGAAGGTAATGGCATTCCATGTCTAGTCGCGCTGGCCATGTGACCACGGAAACACTGGCTCTACGGTTTGGAGACGGGGATGAGCACCACGCCCTGGAGTTGGACATGACTGGGCTAAATGTCAAGGGGAACCTTTACCTAGATAAGATAATTTCAAATGGCAAAAAATTGTTCATTAAAGCTGAACTCCAAGTACTGTACAAAGTTCAAAGAAATTACTCTTACTTTGGCTCTCCTTGCTCAACTTATTGTGATGTGTTGGGGGACCTGGCTCGAAGTGACTATATATTATTCCACAAATTATGATTCATTGCAGCAGATAATTAAAGAATTTGACTGCTTTGAATCTTCCTACATCAAGATTGTTCAAGTTTCCTTTTCTGAAATCTTGCCTGACATATATAAAATCTAACTTCATGGATTATCAAGGGGTGGAATACAGTGGTTCACTGAAAATTGTGAAACAAACTGAGGGTGATTTAAAGTGAGCAAAGGGGAAAGTGGCTGAAAAAAAATCAGTAATAAACTGCTGCAATCTAACCTGGGTTATTCAGCACTTTGCAAAATAAGGAACATTTTAAATGGACATGAAGCAAAATTTGATTACTTTGAGACAGAATTTCCCCAGAAGAGTTGGCTTTTAAAAAAAATTTCTTCCTATAACCTCTTTTAATGTCAAACAGAGTTTCCCCAACTACAAGAGCATACTGATGCACAACAGAAGGGGTTCTGAGTTTGATAACCTCATGATGAATGTGATAATCCAATGCAATTCAGCTGTTTACAAAAATGATCATTTGATTCCTTTAATACCAGCACAAATGTTCATTTGATTCCTTTAATACCAGCACTTCTAGACTGAAAGTGAAGAATCAACCTTTTAATTTTTATGTGTGTGTATAATCATATATTTTTATAAGGGGGGGTTAATTGATACAAGGAGATCTGAAAGGCTTAGGAATGGACCTCAACAGATGGGAAACTTTGACATCTGAGTGTTCAGCCTGGAGGCAGGTGGTGCATCACGGCCTCTCCCAATCTGAAGAGACCCTTGTCCAGCAGGCCGAGGCAAAGAGGCAGTCCCAAAACCAGCCAAATCAGGAAGCTGGACAGGGGACAGATTGTATTTGTCTTCAGCGTGGAAGGGATTGTCATTCTTGAATTGGCCTTCTCAGCCACACCAGATGCTGTTCCAGGTCCTCCATACAGAGCACGTTACCATCGTCTCTTGAGACTGAAGGATGCCTAATCTAAAAATGTATGGATGGGCAGGGCTGTTAAATCCTTTTCCATGAATAATCTCCTTTTCTTATCTGCAAGTAATTCCTGTGTAGACTTTTAATAAAAAGGACAAAAGATTTACATATTCATTTACCATTTTTCATGTGGAGCTGTTGGGATCTGCAAGATGAGGGGAAGTAGGGGTCTTGCAGATGAAGCCTGTCTCGGGATCTGCAGATGAAACCTCCCTCCCCTCTTGACCAGCAAGGAGAAAGGAGACGAGCGCTCAGGGGTATGTTTCAGGGCGGGATCTGGATGAACAAGGACAGCCTGCCGTCAGGCCGCGTTGCTTTTTCCCCTGGTCATGTGATGGAAACTCACAATCGAGACATTTCCCTGCCATCAGTGTGACATTTCCCCATCTCCAGGACATTTCGTATTATTTTGCACCTTTGTTGTACTGGAGCATTCCTGGAGTTGTTGTACTGGAGCATTCCTGCTTCTTTTCAGAATTGAAGCCAGGGAGGTGGTGGCCATTACTGCAACACACCTGCAGTACATTTTTTAAATTTCTTTTTTGTGCCTGATACATTGATAAAAGTACAGTGGTACCTCGACTTACGAACCTAATCCATATTGGATCGGCATTTGTACATTGAAAAGTCTGTAAGTTGAGGCAAACTTTTTCATAGGAATGCCTTGAAAACCATTTAATCCGTACCTGCTGTTTTTCGTTCTTATGTCAAGGCGCCATTCTTAAGTCAAAGCATTAGTTCCCATAGGAACTAATGCAAAGCCAGTTAATCTGTACTCTACCACTAGGGGGAGAATTTTTAAAAATTTTTCTTCTTTTGACCTAAGATGAACTTAGGTCAAAAAAAGGGCAGGATACTGCAACAGCATGCAGGCAGTC